GTTATCGTTATCGTTATCGTTATCGTTATCGTTATCGTTATCGTTATCGTTATCGTTATCGTTATCGTTATCGTTATACGTGGTGATACATTACTTGAAAGATCATATAAACACAAACAATATGCATACAAAAAAACTCGTTTTTTACTTCTTTTAAAAATGCGTGGAGTTGACCACAACCAAAGGGCGCTTATCTCGCACGCGTCAAAGGTGAAGGACTCGACTTTAATTTAAAATTCCTCAAACAACAGTATATGATACCATCATGAAACTAGTTCACCCCATCCTGAAAAACGCTCTGGTCGACCAAAAAACTTTAACTAATCATGAAAAACGTTACTTTGAAAAATCAGTTTCTCCACTCGGCGAAATTACGAATAAACTAAATGCCAAATTTAATACTACTTACCATTCAAATACCGTCTGCAAATACTTATATGAAATAGGGTTCAGAAACTATACTCCAAATCAAGAAATTCATCAATTAAATTGGTGCTAGAAAAAAAGTAACTGGGATGAGGAATGAGAAATGGAAAAATAATACATGTATATGGTCTGACGAGTCCAAATTTGCGCTTTTTGAATCAGATAGCCGGGCAAAAGTATGGCGAAAAACCCGATGAAGCTCACTAAAAATGTATTAAACCTACTATTACGTTTGGCGGAGGATCGGTAATATTTTGGGGTTGTTTTGGTTGAGATGGAGTTGGCCCTTTGGTACCGATAGAAGAAACCATGGATTCGGATGTCTACGTTAATGTACTTGCCAATTATTTCATATCTTGAGCTCACCAATATCCAAACGCTATATTTCAGCAAGATGGAGCGCCATGTCATCAAAGTCTGAACCTCAATCCAATCGAGCACCTGTGGGATATTTTATACCGCCGAATTCGAAAAAGAAGACCTTTACCTACATCAAACAGTATACTACAAAAGAAATGAGCAAGTATTAATCTAGAAACTCTACGTAGCTAATTTTAAGTCTATCTAGACGCGTAGACGAGGTTATTAAAGCCAAAGACAAAAGTATAAACTATTAATTTGTAGGTTCGATACTTTATTTTTATTTGGTTAATAACGATGACGATAAATGTTGAATTGTTTAAATGATCGACAAAAGTTCCGGCAATACATGTACATGTATAACAATAATAAAAATGATCGATAAAAGAATTTTGCAATTTGATTGGCCCATCAGTTTTGATTGTTAATCCTGCACGTGCAATCAATAAAAATGCAAAACAAATCCGACACAAAAAAAGGGAGAGGATAGTTACGGGTCATGTGATATTTGGTATGTCCGGAAAAATTCTACGGTAATAGAGATTATTGTTAATGGTTAATTTAAAGGTTAGGGTCAAGGTTAGATCTGAGATCAAAGTTATATATAAAATTGCCTTCCCGACATTTTTTGTTAGTCTATCAAACTAGATTTAGGCATTTGTTTCCCGTATTTTTTACATTTTTTGCTTTGTGTCGGATTGGCGACACGTGACCCGTAACTTTTTTTTCGTCATAGCTAGGGTACTTGTTATAGTGTTACTGATTATCAAATTCATTACAAATTCTGTTAGCTTTTGAATATTAAAATTTTGCGCTGGGTATTTTTAGAGGTTGAAAGCCAGTTTTTATAGTAAAACTTCGAGTTGTTTGCAATTTTTCGCTTGTTTTTGAATTTTGTATGTTACATATGATCTTGCAATTGGATTGGTCAAATTTTGTGTTACACTTGTCTTTGCAATCGGGATTTGTCGATTAACGCATCACCATATTTGGACTGTATAAGGGGAATGACAGATAACGATAAGTACATGTATTATGTAATACGCATTGAGTTACTATAGATCTAACCTCTCCCCAAGGTGAGATTTTCCGCCTCCCGTTGATAATTACGTAATATCTGTCACTTCCCTAAAGAAATTGTCTAATTTTTAATTAAAAGAAATACCGACCTAGTAGTACCTCCCCAAAAAGTATTACCCAGTCCAAAATTATACATAAAAAATCGACATTTTCGAGCTATGTATACTGTATACATGTATCTAAAATAATACAATACTTGTAAAATGCAAGGACTGTTTTAAAATAAATTTTTTTCTATTAGTAATATTATATCATTTTAAAGCTAAACAATTATATTTTTGCAAAAATGAACAAGACTTTTAAAATGAAATACCTGTTTTCAACAAAAAACTTTTGATATGTATTTTACTATATGCTTTTTAATTGGGTGATACTGCACACAACTCACATGTGCTAGTAGTACTCGTTATTAAGTTAAATAATATACGTACATATCGATATGTACGTATTAATAATGCGTTTTATCGATACGTAATATTGAAGACGACGTGTAGTCATTAATAATTATACAATATATGTACATGTATTTTATGTAATATCTAGACTTGTGACCAGTACATATTTAATAAAAGTTTTATCATGAGCCGAGACACTTTATAAAAATTGTAAGCTTGATCGTGAATTTTAAGTGTATAAATATGTGTGAATGTATTCAATACTTAAAATAATATAATAAATCCTGTATTTCGATTAAATAGTGATGTTAAAAGGAAAATTAAAAATTTAATTTTCAATTAATTCCTCTCACTTCTTTTTAGTATAGCGAAACAAAACATTCTATGCGTGTATCTTCTGGAATTCTTTTTCATAAATAGAAGTGAATTTTCTTTAAAAGACTCTTTGTAATTTTAATATCAAAAGTCTCGCCAGTTATAAACAAACAATCTTTTTCCCACTATGAGAAAAACACCAAAAGTTTCGGGATCTTCCACATCGAATACTTTCCCCGAGATGTCTAATATACCAACCATTTTTGTTCCTTTCCCACCAAAAATAACAGCAGAAGATTATCTTAAAAAAAAGAGAGACGGTAGTTTTCCCAATAAATCAATGAATTGTTTTATGCTTTATCGGATAGCATTCAATAAAGAGCTTCGCGCAAAAGGAATATGTGTAAGGCAACAATCAATATCTCGTCATATTTCGGATTCTTGGCAAAATGAACCCGATTACGTAAGAAAAGTGTATAGAGATCTTGCGGTGAGAGCTCAAGAAGAACTCGATCAAATGCGTAAATGTAGTTTAGGACCCGATCCACTTTTCACATTTGCGACTGATGACAGAATTCGACATTCAGATTTTGCACAATCTTTTAATGCAAGCAATATTCAGTTTAATAACTATTTAATCGGTGATAATTTTCCAATGCTCCATTCAGTAGAGTCAGCAGCATTAGACTCAATCCAAATTCCATTTATCAATAACAATATACATGAACAAAATTCATCTGAAGATGATCATTTTAAGAATTATTCAATTAATTTTCTACCAACGCCGCCGGAATCATCACTTGATGGTACATTAATGGATCTAAACTATTTTCCAATCTTCAAAACCAATCCCAATTCTTGTATCGTTCCTTTCAATTATTTTCTTAATTATAATTAATCAACTTTCTACGTACGTGTATTTGGCATTAGCGTGACACTAATTTTGATTTACATGTAATTACGTCACAGTGAACCTTGATATACGTAACGGGAAATAGTGTGTACATTAATATAATTAATTCAGATATCTAAACAGTTATATAAAATAAATATTTTTACTAGCAAAACGCGATTTCGTTTATATAAAGTAGCCCGCCCTAACATATAAAAGAGTTTATATAGTTAATATTTTTATAAAATTTTGCACATCTTTAATTATATAAAAATTTTTATTAATTATTTATATAAAAAAAGAAATAATAAAAGTAATAAATTTAGTATAAAATTTATAAATTTAGAATATACTGTCCTATTTCCGTGCACCTTTATGTTTTGTAATTATATTTCTCATTTTTTTATTTAATTTGTTGCATAATTAATAACACCAATTTTGTGTTAATACTTTGTAGCCTAAACTATATTTTATAAAATTTTGAGATATTAAGTGCACGAAAATAGACTCTCGATTTTATTTATATTATAAATTACTATCGAAAAAATACAAATATACCTAAAATTATATTCTGAACATATTTAATTAATAACCTAAAGTAGGTTTTTATAATAAAACTATGAGATATTGAGTACACAGAAATAGGGAGGGCTACCTTATTGTATTTAATAAACTTAGAGCAATAAAATGCTTAAATTGTAACGTCACTTGAGATTTATAATAAAATGTAAGTCCTTTGATTCATTTCAATGTCACTGTAACGTGTTGCAAAAACATTTCTTAAGCGGCTTTTGAAATTGGAGCTAATAAACTTGATATCATACAAAAGTGAGCTACATTTTGATAAATTTCTATGATTTTTCAAATATTATTACTTGGAGAAACAACTATAATTGGTACCAAATTGTCATACTCGGAACCAACTACAATGAAACATTGCATCAACTACGCTTTTGTTTTCATAGTATTTGATTGAATAATTAAAAATTTGTTTTAGAAAAACGATCGTTTAATTACAAAATCTCACGACCTATTATTTTTCGAATAAATGACTTTGTTTCTTCGTTTGATGTTGATTGGTTATAAAAGAAATTTAGATTTTTGATAGAGTGGCTATCCCTTGTTAAACCGAAACTGCATTTGTTCTATTGACAAGGAATTTCCAATTAGAGTTTAATTTATTAATAAAAATTAACGAGAATCACTAGGTACGTATATTGAAATAATAATATTGCTTTTTGGATAGTGGGATTATTCAAAAACCAAATAACTTAACCTGTTGTTACCGGACTTTCTACATGTATTAAATGGAATTCAATTGATGTCAACACCAATGTTTTTTAATTAGCGTTAGCGTTAGGTAATCCTTTTTGAATAATATCGATATACATTTACATGTATATATGTACATGTACGTAGATAACCGGATCTCATGACATATGAATTCCGGATACACATAACGGGATTACTGTATTTCACCGCATAAAGTGCCAGTACCTGCTCGTTCAGAAAATTTAAACACAAAATATAGTTGTGATATATATAATATCAATGTAAAAAAAACTAGATTATCATGCAATAGTGATTGTCATACAAAATTTTATGAATTGAAAAATAAATTTATATAATACATGTATATACTAACAGCAATAATAGCAATTGGCAAATTGGTTACCAGATTGATAATTTGACGGATTAAATTGACAATTTTGTGAATTGACAAACTGGATTTCACATATATATAAATTCATTTTTTAAATAAATTATTATATTAATAAGTTTCAAATACAGACAAACCTCTCTAAATGCACCCTTTATAAGTGCACACCCTCTTTAAATGCACAGTATGACTTGGTCCGAGCTCATAAGAACTCTATATATTTTGCCCTCTATAAATGCACACACTCTCTAAATGCGCGCTTTACTATGGTCCCAAGGGGGTGCATTTAGGGAGTTTCGTCTGCATATTAATTAGTTTAATATAAATGAATTGCTTTATTTAATAATAAAATATTACCAATAAAAATATTTAGTGAACAAAATTACCAAAAAATTTGTGAAATGCTATTAATCCTCTTTATAATTATACTTTTAATCCAATGGTTATTTTTTATAAATGTAATTATAACAAACTTTATTATAAACATTACTATAAAGTATTAATTTTATTATAGCTGGTCCCTGAAATAAGTATAATTATAGTAGGATTTTTATATAATATAACTATAATAAAGATAGCTATAAAGATAATTAAAATATTTACTTTTTTGTGCATATTAACTTTATTAGTTATAAATAAAACATTTGAAAATTTAGTATAATATACTTTAGAATTTGTGATATTTAATATCAAAGCATATTTGTTATTAGTACTCTTTAGAGCTATTAATTGATTCAGTCCAAATTATAAGGATGGATTATTAAAACTGATATAGTCAAATCCCTCTATAATTACTCTTTAAATAATTACATCATATATAATCACTTCTTTTTAAGAATAAAAGCATCTCGCTATAAGCACATTTATTATAAAATCTCGCTATAATCATATTCATAAAAAATTACTAATGGACCTGATAGTGTAATTATAAAGAGAGTTAACTATAGTTTTTTTTAAATTTATGTAAATTAATTTTGTTGTTTCAATATAATTTTATGTAATATTTCATCTTTTAGATTCAATATTAGTTAGTTTTATAAATATAACTAAACATTTTTTACATTGTTATGGTAAATACAAAATTTTTTTATGGAAGTCTATAATACATACAATCAAATCTGAAAATTTATAATAAATTTCTTAGCAGTTATTTTTCAATTCGGATCTCTACAGTTTGGAAATCGTGATTTTTGAATCGATTCAGACTATTAACAACCATGGTTCCCTCACAATTATTTTATGAAGAATAAAATTTCTTATTAAAGATGTTTGAAATATATTATTTTAATATTGCATACTTTAGAATATTTTGAATCTATATACTTAAACATCTATGAGTTTTTTATTAGTTTTTGTGCTAATTATATACCAGATTATTTTATTTATACATTTATATTTTAGTTCTAAATTTTAGACAATAATCAAAAAACTTGAAATTTTTGTATAAAATATATTAGAATATTAATACAAGTTGTTAATTAGTTTCCCCATTATTATTTCGCAAACGTGTCCGGTGACTTTTGTTTGTCGAGTGTATTAATGAAAATTGGAAAGTTTATTATAACGAACTTATTATATTTTTATAAACACTCTAAAAATTTAAGTTTGCTATTAATTATATTCAGTGTTAACTATATTATATTTGCAATATAGGTTTGATATTATAAACAATAACTTCTATTACATTTTTAGCGTTTATTATGCTTGACATAATCAATATTATACTTACTTTAGAGAAGTATTACTATCTTTGCGGTATTAATAAAACCAATCAACAAGATAAAAATTAATTAAAGATCACAAATTATTAATATTGATTCTTTTTTAATTGCAAGTAGTTCTTAAATAACTAATAAAAAGGTATTATAAACACATTTTGACTATTGTCAGCAATAAAATCCATGTAATGAATTGTTTTGTAAATACGTATATTGAAACATAAATATCATGCATGTTATTTCCTAAATACATGCAATATTGTATTGATCACTAAATAAGTGAGAGATTTTAGGTTATTTTTATTCTGATAATTTTAGAAGTATTAGACCATAATAAACCTAAAAATTGTTATCGCGCAATGAATTTTAAATCAAAGTTATCGCGGAATGAATTTTAATAAAGCTTCAAAGTTATCGCGCGATGAATTATAAATCAAGGTTATCGCGGAATGGATTTTAAATAAAGCTTCAAGTTATTGCGCGATGAATTTTAAATAGAGCTTCAAGGTTATCACGCAATGACTTTAAATAAACAGATGGCTCAGTGACTAGATTTCTTGTTACATGTATTTGGATGACTATAATTCCTACTTGATATCGTAACCAATTAACTCAATGACTTTAAGATTGCAAATTGTCTGAGCATTAATATAGTGATACGCAAGATGGCAACGATATCAGTACGTATATCGGTAATACGTAATTAATTATAACAATTTATCGTTAGATATTAACGATAATATTTTTATGCACGTGCTGCGGGATCTACCAGTACGACAAAAACAACTGCTCTGTGTTTTGTGCCAATAATAGTTATTCTTTACATGTTCACACAACATACAATTTTTGGCTGTTTTTCGCATTGAACAAATCAAAGGGAAATATTTTGCTGTAATTTCTATAATTTGGAATATTCAAATTTGGTTTGCTTTTCAGGTATTATATTTCGAAATTTCGATACGTATTTTCAGATAAGAAACTATTTTTTCAATTTAATTCGATTCTTCCTAAGAAAAAATTAGTTGCTGAAGTTTAATGCTTGGTTATGTCTGTAGCTTGAATTTCGCTGTATTTTAGAGTTTGTTGAATTTAAATTGCGTCACACGGGTTGCATGAATGAAATGCATGGAGCAAGTGCAATGATGATTGTTTGGTAAACAAATGATGCAAGATTTTTCGAGTTATTGGTTGTTGACGCAGTAATAGTAGAATTCGATGATTTCACTATTTATTATAGGTATTTAAAAATCAAAGTCATAAAAAATAAAATGAAACGAAGGGAACTATCGTGACGAATACTTAAAGCTTCACACGTTACTCCGTTCTTACATCGCATAGATAAGGAATATCCCGTTCATTTCCGCGTTTCCGGTTTTTTCTAAAAAGCGTACTCTTACGGGAATCAAGTTCGAAATATAACAAGAAATCAATTGAAATAGCTCTAGCCAAACAAAAACGTGTTCAATTTACGCGGTTTAACCAATATATGGTGAATTTCACTCTTATTCATTAATTCGTAATATTGTTCATGAAATAAAATTGCTTAAATAAGTCGCGCCAAATGAAAGAACCAATTGCATTGAACTGATACCAAAAAAGAGTACAATAGTTTTTCGCTATTATAACACAATTTATTCCTTTGTTTTCGGTACATATATAATGAGCTGTGAAGGATTATTACATTGACATGGGCCATTCTTTTGTGACAAGAAAAAATAATTTTAATAACTTCATCACAAAAAGGATATTATCTATTCAACTTCAATGACAAGGTTTCATTGAAGTTATACTCTGTTCAACTTATTTACAATAAAATGACAAAAAGCTTTGTTAAAATCGCTCCCAAAATTCCCATTACCTTTCAACCCATTGTATATTCAAATATCCCGTTCGAAACCAACAACAATCAACACCATATATCTAATAATTATACAAATGGACAAAAACAATCAAAACCGCAATACAAATCAAAAGAAAATAATAATCATCAAAATCACCTTAAGAATCTCGGGTGCATTAATTCACAAGACCGTTTCCCCTACGATTACTTGCACCCGGAACAAATATCCACGAAGGTCGGCTTTAATGACGCGATTGAGACAATCGAGAAAAATGCGCTTTGCTCAAGGTCGTCGAACTCCAATTCGCATTTTTGTTTCCCGCGTTCAACAAATGACACAACAGCGACAGCAACAACAAGCACAACAAGTCGGCCCTCAAACGAAGCCAGAATCAGCTCACAAATAAGAACTTCGAATGACTTCTTACTCTATCCAAACAGCAAACAAAATAACATAACTGCAATTGATAAAAAATCCAACACTAACCAAATATTGAAAACTAAGCGTAAGTTTTTGTGGAGAGAAACCAATCCTGAAAGTCAAATTCATAAACATAAGCAAGCCAAATTCAATATCAACAAGAATTTACCTAACAAAATTCCTCCACAACTATCAAATAACAAAATTGAGCCATGCCAACCTAAAAAGTCTTCAACCAAAGTATATTTGGATGAAGATTCATTATCCGAAATTGCTGATCGAGCATTCAAACAATCAAAAAAAAACAGCGATCAACAATCAATCGACTCTACTTCCTCTTACATTCAACATCCTTTCAACACTTTTTCTCACTATCCCTTTGTACCAAATTATCCGAATTCCTTACAATTCACAAATTCACAGACGTATCTCAATAATAATCTCGGTTTGCCAACTACAGAAACCAAATTCGACTTTCATTTATATAATAACTACAACAGCAGCAGCAGCATTGATTCCAATATTAATATTAACTTTCGTAGAGATTTCCCGAAACCTTCATCTCTCATTGGATATTCCTACGATAACAATGTCCATCAATCAGATTACTATTTAAAGTATCCACAAAATCATAACTACATGTAATTTGTTTCTTTAGTGGCGAGAGAAGATTAACTTAACTACACATGATTAGAATAGACTGATCGCAATTTTCTATATAATAGACAGGATCTTTATCATTTTTGGCTTTTGTGATAATAGAAAAGAACGAATTGAATTAATCATGTGATTTTGAATTTTCTTCTAAATTAGTTGTATAGGGAAACGAGAAATTGTATTAATTACGATTTACTGGATCTTTTGTAATAACACATCGACTGTCTTAAAATAATAATAAAAACACGGGCATCCTTGTAAGAAATGTTCAGTGAATCCAGAGGATTAACCAACATCTTGCAATATTGATATATCGAACAAAATTGCTGTTTTAACAGATATCACATTTAGGCTCTGTGAATTTAATACATGTAATTCGTTCAACATCCCGCTTTTTTAAACTCCACTCTAAATTAAACACCAATCAGAATCTATAAATAGGTCTCCACGTGAGATCACATGATATATGATAAATAAAGAGAGCCAATAGGATGTGTGTTTGTCCACAAACTATCTAATTCAAACAGACTTAGGGAAAAATGAACTTTCAGCAATATTCCTGCTCGATAAATAAAACATTCACAGTTAGAAGAAAGTCTTTATGATATTGTTAAACTTAATTTATTAATGTTAAATAATAATAAAATGGGTCATACATCTATTCAAGAAGGATTTTCTCATTACATTGCTATTACAGGTTGCTGATTTTCTTTATCGTTATGTGATCAATTACATGTACAATGTTTGTTTATATTTGTAAATTATTAACCAATGAAAACAAAAATAGGCTTGTATAGTGAACTAACTATATGTATCAAGTTTTTCGGAAGAAAGTCAAACAGAGCTTTCAGAGTCATATTGTGCTCAAGCAGTTGGTGTGTCTTGAACCATGGTATCTTGAGCTGTGATGATTGAAGTGTCTTGAACGATACTATTTGTTGGTGGTTCTTGGTTGATTTTGCTAGTTAACGATTCAGGTTCACGAGCAGTTATTATAGGCTCGATTGAAGTGCTTTGAGCTGTGGTGAATGGAGTGTCTTTAACAACTTAAGACATTCCAATCTCCGAGACACTTGATGTCCTTCATCTTGACACTCCAATCATCACGACTAGTATAATATCCAACCCACGGAAACCGTTGAGTCACTTCGCATGTATGAGGAAAAGTCAGGCGAAGCACAGAAGTTTTTAGGTGCGACCAAAATTTTCTCATACGCTCTTACTATTCTGTTGTTTTTGTTTCCTTAACTAACGCTTTTGCAGATCGCGTGACATAACTTCAGATGGTCCGTTTCGATGTCTAATATGATAACATTCTCGGAGGTGATCAAGAATTCGCACTCGATTATCTTTACTTCTGTAACAGTCTCGACAAGGGCATGAAAAGACTGGGTATTGGTACACGAACACAAGGTGAAGTATGGGTCAGAAGAGTATTGGTATACGAACAGAAGGTAATAAAGTATGGGTCAGAAGAGTATATAAATCAGCAACTGTCAGATCTCGATGACAAAATGTCCGGTGACCATTACCTCACAGTTGATCCATTACTTCGTGAACACTTCATCCTCAAGTTTCCACAGCGAAGGCAATGCATGCTCAGCGCGCCAATGATGGAGAATATTGTATATCACGGGTCACAGTATCCCCTTATGTATCGTACCCCACCCTTTGTTACTAATAGGTAAGACTAAGGTTACAATATGCCCGGGGTACGGTGGCCCGTGATATACGCTAAAAGATCTGAATTGAGTGATTGCTTCAATGCTAAAATAGAGTTAACTATGACTTACAATAATATTAATAAAGATTAGAATCCAAGTTAAAAGAGTTGGAGCGGGGTGAAAGTTCTGTCACGCTTGGGTGTCGATTTTATTAAACCTCAGATACGAATAAGCTATACAAGACTGTTCTGGATACGGGCGCTCCAGAAATCACATTACCCTTTACCGTCACAAACTTGGGAAAAAGGGTTGGAGGATGGGTCAGGACACTGCTCCAGTGTACGGCGCACCTGCTAAACTGTATTTGATCTCTGATCCATTTTCAATGTCCATCGGGGACGACAATAACTGGAGCAATTAAGTCCAGACCAATACACTTCGGATCTGGGAAACAAAACCTGGTGAACAGGTGGATTATTCCCTGGTCGGGAATGACTTATTAGATAAATTCATCTATGTGCACCAGCAGGGAGGAGGACTTATGTTCCTGAATTCCCGGCATGAGACTCTGTGACAACGTTTTTAGATAACCTATCGCCCTAACAGTCATTTATTATATAATAGTGCTAAAGTATCAGTTATGTGATACGCGACACGGGTACATAGTACCGCAGTGTATTCATTATTCTGCGAACCATGTTCTTCGTCAGATCATCAACATCGATAAACTTGGGTTCGAACTTGCCAATCAACCGCTTGCATAAATAATGAAATAGATATTTAAAATAGGCAATATCTCGGCAAAAGTGCACACGAGCTTCCATCGTCATTCATACTTGCACATGTAAAGCGGAATGAGAACTTTTGGCAAAATCGACTTAGTTCACAAGATCTGATGTGCCATGAATTTAGTTAAGCTAGTCTTTTTTTACACATGAGAAATCGTGTACCGAGTTCATAAATGTTCTCGTGACTTTTTGATTTTTAATAAAAAATAAAAACCATTTTGTCATATTATGTGGAATCAATCTACCGACGCCATCTCATATAATCCCTAATTCCTTGAGAATCTCTGAGAAAATTGCAAAGGACATTACCCAATGCATAGTATGGGAAATCTTATACTGTTCAGCACTGCTTAAAGTACCCTTCTCTGACACTGTGCCTCCAAGCCATTCTTTAGTAATAAAAATTTTGAAGAAGTTACAACTGTTGCAGAAAAAATAATTGTTTTAATGGACCAAAATTAAAGTTTAAATTTTCTACAGGAACAGGACTTTAAGCGGAGCTAGATAGTATTTGAGAATATTATCATATTCCTGATGTATTCCCATACGTTCTATAATTTAACAATCAAACTCCCTAGCATTCCAAAGCACATCTTCTTATAGGTAAGAGTACAGATTTTCGTTTATGCCTACTATCATTCCTTTAGATTCTAGTTTTATACTGGCTAATTACCGTATATTCCAAATTAAGCGCGCCTTTTTTGCACATAACGCTGGCCAAAGTCCTCATAATTCTGTCCAAAAGCGTCATAATGCGGGCCAGAGGTGCTTATTTTCGGGGTGGTGGTGCTTAATTTTGGGAGTATACGGTATATTGAGTGTCACTTAAATATTTGATGCTACGAAGATTTAATTTGTAATGAAGATAATATTGCTGCTATTTTTATAAAAAAAATGATAACTTAGTTAAAAGATCTCATTTTTTTTGTTAACTAAATATAAATGTAAAATCATATCCTTCTCCCTCTATTCCCGAAACACGATGAAACTTTACAGCATATCTGAGCGCTTCATGTAAATCCCTGTTACAATATTTTCCCGAATATAAAGCTTTAACATAACTATAGATAGCTGGCAAATAGTCTTTCTCGGCCAACGTCCGAAATATCAAAGTATTTTCTCTTTTACGTTGATAATAACCGTAACCGTAAGCAAAACGAAAAACACCTTGTGGATGCCCAGTCGCTACTGCCTTCTTATAATATTCAACAGATAGAGAAAGATCCCCAAGTTGTGCTAATGCAAAACCGTCATTTAAGTCGCCAGCTATTTTGTAGTATTTGCGTGCATGATTTCTGTCAAATCTTATTCCGATTCCGTGGTAATAGCAGAATCCGAGAAGACTTGCGTGAATAGCATTGTTTTCGGATATTTGAGTTGTTGCCGAAAATAGACATAAAAGCAGCTGAAACGACTCTTCTCGTGTTCGTTGATATTTGATTTGGTATTGGTCGATTTCGTATTTTATTTTCGCGTACCATCCAAGGTATGTAGCTTCATTATAGACTTTTATGAGACCATCAATAAAGTTTTTTTCTTGTTCAGTGATATCATCTTTAAATATATAGTAGGAATTTTCCATTACGTATTTTGAAAAAATTCGTGCTTAAAAATTGATTCTTCAATGTCCGGAATTCAACGATAAATACAGCTTGCTATGATGTAATGGGTTGATCGAATTTCTGTTACATGTCAATATTCTCTACACGTACTAAACCTGTTTTGTATTAATGATAAATACATGTACATTACGTTATCGTTATTTATAAATGTTGTGCCTCAGATTATAATTTGCCACAGATCACACTTCACGTGCTCATTTTCCCAGCATTAACCAAAACCTAACTAACTCTAGTAATACTGTGCGTGATCTGAGGCACAACATAAATAATAACGGACGATTTTGATTGTTACCGTTACATATGGATTATAAAAACCAGCAAAATTGAATGTATTATCCGACGAAGAAAAAGATTTTATTCAAAGTCGCTTGAAATTATATGACGACTCAACCTACAAATACTGGTATAACCAATAATTATTAAACACATCAAATAGCAAAAAAAAGGGGCTCTTCAACTGCTTTTGAAACAATATCAAAATCAAAATATGTTCATCAAGCAAGTCTACTCGGATTCTGCTGTCACTACGGAATAGGAACACAACCGTTAGAAGAAAAGCATTCGAGCACTACAGCACCGCTGCATAATTAGGCGATGAATTCGCATTGACGCAAGTAGGAATGTGCTTTCGTATGAGTATTGGTACTTCCTACAACCTCGGGTTGGACATCCACAGGACATGTGTAAATATGCTGAATAAGCACAGGAAAACTAATGCATTTTGGATGTTAAAAGCAGCTGGAAAAGAGCCCGTATGCTATGTTTAAAGCTGCTAATTTATATATGAATGGAGAGTATAAAGATTTACCTCGTGCCTTGAGATTGAGTAATTGTGAGCATGGAATATATAATGTGTATGAAATATTTCGAATTTAGATTCAACATCATCAACCAATTTTAAAACTTGTTGCTATCATTCATTATGAAGAAACAACAATTCAATGAAAAAACTGATATTTATTTAGATTAATTATAAATGATTATGATAGTCATTTTGCAAAGTTTAATTTATATTTTTTTTAGTGAAATCTTTTTGTATTCTGATATTATGTTTGCAAACATGTTTGACCAATTACCATTATATGAATTGATGGATGAATTTAACTTATTATTTAGCAAATTAAACATCATAAACTTTATATTGTTATAAATAACAAGCTAAGCATAAAAAATTGGTAGTAATGAATAAGAATCTCGAAATTTAGACTTTTTATTTTACTAATTTGATATAATTTTATAAGTGAAAACTTTATATAATTAATTTTTAAATAATAATAATTTATTAAATTGAAAATATATTAAATATATTATTTACCTTTAGCAAAAAAATTATACTTAATATTTACTAAAAAGCTATCAGAAAATAATTCAGTAAAATACTTTGTAATTAACCAATTCAATTCATTAAAATCCAATTGATTTATTAATTACAAGTTATATTTTGTGTTATTATCATTAATTATATATAAACAAGATATTTTTAAACTAATATAAAAATAATTTTTAAAAAAATTACTAATTTATAATAAATTTGATTAACTGTATTCTTTTTTGGTATGTTATCTTTATATTATTAAGTATACTATATATAAAAAAGTAATAAAAATAAAAAATAAATTAAAATATATATTATATAATTAAGTAAAAAAATTTCATAACTAAACAAATAACAAATAAGTATTATTAATTTAAAAAATTTATTTTTATGTTAAATATCTTTTATAAGTTTATTTTATTTTTTATTTTTATTTTTTATTTTTACTATTTTTATTTTTTTTGTTTTTATTTTTACTAATTATTTTTATTATTTTTATATTTATTTTTGTTATTAAAAAATAAAAACTTGAAAAATATATAAATAAAATTAGTATCTAAAATTTGAACTAATATATTTGAACTTAAAAACAAATAATATAAATATTTTTAATTAATAGATTTAATAACTTTTTTAATTATCTACTTTA